GGCGCCTCTTAGCGAATTCCCCAAACCCCGTTGTTGACAGTTCGCATTGTTTGATCGTAAATGCCATTTTGCTCCACTGTTATCTTAGTAATGTTTGATTGAAGATACAACACAATATCTACCGTGTTGTAGCTTTGCTCACGGCGCAAATTCACATCTAACGAAGCAGCAGTGGATCGGTTTGGTGATGGCATTCCCAGTTGATTACGAACTGTGTTGGAGATTCCCACGCACATGTCCTCAATCTTTATCAACGCCTCATTGTAAATTTCTCTTGTGAAGTTCACATTTGAATTTTCCATGCATAGTCGACGGAAGATGTCTTAAGCCATGTGCGACATATATTTCTCCCATAAAACCGAATTATAACTTTCCTCCAAGTACACAATTTGAAGGAGACGTAGTTTTCTACCAAATGAGTAAACGAATGAGTATTTCAGCAATCAAAAGCTTGCATGCCGGCCATCAAGCATTAGTGCACCAGCGGGCAACAATTCTTGATGAAGGGGAGAGCGGTTAATTATTATAGGTATGCAGTAGCATGGCGACTGCATCCTATAAATACTGCAACTTCCTGTACACGAATCACCCATTTCTGTCTCTGTCTCTGATGATGAGATCGAGTGAGAATACAAAACTTCAGGTGAATAAATCCCTTGTTCCAGCGATCGCTTCTACTTCTTATCAACTGGTTCCTGAAACTCGCATATTCGCTGGTATCGGCAATTTTTATCAATGTTTTCTGTGAAATATTTTTGCATTTATATGAGCATCGAATATAAATTAGAAAAATTCATTCTATATAGATAGTCACTTTTTACAGATTGTAGTTTTTGCCAGCGGCCGGAAAGAGGTTCATTTAAAAGCCGGCGTATTGAACTAACTGAACTATTATGGGATTATGCCGCATGGTAATTAGTATTACAACCCTACTTAAGTAATCTTTTCGAGTTAGAAACGGATTTCAGAATTTTGGTGAATATTTCTTGAGTTTGCACACCTCCTGTAGTTGGTCGACATCAGAAAGAGAGGGGAGAAGGAAGGAAGAGGAAAGGGGGTTGATGAGCGATCAAAGGGACACCGGTTGCATCAGCCTTAGCCTGCCGTCCCGCAGAAGTGTCGCCTTCACCGCGATTCAAATGAAATCTCCGTCAGCTTTCGTGGTGTATTACGGTACCATTAGTGTGACAACAGTCCTCATCTTTAGCAAGATAAACAACCCTCTGCGCCATCTGCCGATTTCGAAAATCAGTAGGGTTATGGCTTTCGATCATAGTGTTTGGAGGATCTTTTTCTGGGAAGTGTTTGTATTTGAAAATGCAAACGAACTATCTTTTTTTCTTCTTCTGCCTGGCAATAATTTTCGGTTACTTTCCCCACCGCATTCCGGCTCTTTTGTGGGACCCCAAATAGTAGAAATGTTATTTTGAAAGACTACCAAAGCAGCAATCCTCGATACCGTTCTTGAAAACAGGTTTTTTTTCACGACATAATAGGTCAAACGTTTGTGCACTAGCTCTTATAACCGCATTTGAAGCGACGGCCTGAGAAGATCTTCAGGGGTATGGGGTTACTTTTGATTGACATTTCGGATACGATAGTTGGCGATTCATTATTAGGAACCCTTTTCTCAATCTACATCGATATACACAAGAATGATACTTTCAGTGCTGTTCTAGAAAAGTGATTTGTCGTGAAAGGCGAGGTGGTAATGTCTCACCAATGGTCCGAGTAGATCTAGAGGCTTTAGACGGAAATCACAGTCCAAGTGGAATGTGTGCCTTGATAACTTTTGTTCCGAAACTGATATTGGGGAAGAGGTGGGCCGTTTCAAAAAACCGTATCTAACAACAAGCACTATTTAGTAAGTAACGTGATAAGACGGGAAATTTGATTACCGACGCGCCCGATAAACATACTTTCGAAATGTTGAATACTCGGGATGACAGTTGGAATTCGACTTCGAGTCCATCCGCATTACTTCCTGACTTAGAATTCAGGGACAGAGAACAAGAAGAGGAGGAAGAAGAAGAAGAAAAAGAAGAAGAAGAAGAAGAGAAGGAAGAAGCGAAAAGCAGACATAGTGGCTAATGCATGCTGTTCGCTCCCTGGATCCTTTTACATATCGTCAAATTCTTTAGGCCACGACCAACGTCCGTCACACTGACACTCCGCCACCCGACTTTGGTGTGTCTTGCCCCGTTCTGACCGGGGGTTCCGCGGACTGTGGGGTGGGCTGGGGTCGGCCAGTGCGCAAACACATTTGTTCGTCAGTCAGGAGTGAGAAAACGGTAGCTACACGCATGCTGTTTGGAAAACCTGGTCTGAATAACGGTCATTAATAAAGACGAGGATGGCTGAACAGTGCAACAGACCCTGCGGGCAGTTGGCAACGGAGGCAGGAACTGATGCATGAAGTAGTGAATAGCGATCGAATCGGAAGAAGCGAGACGAGTGAATGCGCAAGTAAGTTATTTCTGATCCATATACAGGCGAGAAGTTCAATTCAACATTTTCTATAAATGTGGTCGCTCAACATGTGCCCAAAAACGGCTGTCAATAATGATAAATCGACATTTGTCTTGGAAGCTGTTAGCAAAGATAAACAGGACTGTATCAGCACTGAAAAAACTCGGGATATGAAGGTGCTCCTTAAATAAAGATTTACCTCTACGTAAGACGTCGGCAACTTCTAAATATTTGCATCGTGATTTGGTCGGTTTAGTAAGTGTTCCAGCACTTAAATACGAAGGCCTGTTTGATCGCGACCTGCTTGTATAGGATGCAAGTTTTGTCTAAACTTTCGTACTATGCGAGTTCTGAGTGAGGCGAAATCCTGTCATTGGTTTACGATAAACCTGAATCTGTTCCTACTCACCTAACTTATTTTCAAGCCTAGCTATATAAATATTTGGGTCAAAGTAAAACTACAATTCCTCGAATTGTTTGTAACTGAAAGGAAAGGCAGTCACCGAAAGGGTCGCTAAGAGCAGACGTACGCATGGGACCTTTAGAGGGATGGGCTGGTTTCAACCTAATCTTGCTAACAACAAAGGCATTCGCTATTCTGCTATCCCAATCACGGGAGAAACGAAAGTCGGGGGTCTCTAAGTTGGCAGTGAGTTAGCCTGATTCTGTTTTTAAACGTCCCGTGTGTAAGTACATTTTGCTTTAGGGAAGCGCCAAACAGAACCAATCCACTTGTTTCCTCGTTCTGCACCATTCCCCCCTTGTGTGCGTTTGCTAACCCAGTCGGGGGCCGATATGGCACAGTTTGATTCAGAGTTTAAATATTGCCTCTGCTGACGATTTTCTGTGCGAACGTGCATTTTCCTCGACAGTACGACAGAAAACTGGGAAATTTCGATAAACCAACCTCATTTTTCCAGCTTATTAACTTTACAGTCTCATAGGAAGCGCCTAAATACCAGCAACGGGTGCAGGGTCCCAGCCAGGGGAATGCTTAATTTTGGTTTTTCTGTGCAGGCCACTATCACAATTGGTCGAAAAAAAGGGATTCCTAGATAATGGCATACCGACAGCAGACTGTGCTTTGACAAATGTTCACTCAGTCTCCATGTACATGCTGAGGCTTTCTATCACATTCCAACTTTTTCACCATCTGTCTCCCCAGTATCTTCAGAACAGTCTTTCTGGGAATACAGGAGAAAATGCGGAGATATCCTGCCTGCATAGTATCTCTCTTTCCTTGACGACTTGTACACTTTTTTCCTGCTTGCATTGGTACTTTTTATGTGGCGTCTTATTTCTCCCTCCAAAGCCCTAGCAAGTAATCACGCGCATGGCGTCAGCTAAACTGTGGAATTCGAAGGGATCCAAAGAACTTTGGCAAAATTACGTCGCAAATGGTGTGAGTAATGGCATCAGTCGGTGCTTATTACCCACCCTATTAGAATTTATTCTTCCCCTCCTCGCTCGCGAGGCCATTTGATTTCCCGGACTGTCTTTCGCAGGCCTGTTGATGCATGAAAACGCAATTATGCGCCCTTTTAGGTTACTGGCCAGTTACATGCACTAAAAAGCTCTCCAAAAGTGTCCTGTTCATTCGTTCACAGCACTCTCAAAATCCGGCGTTTCTGAAAATGCCGAAGTCATTTCTCTTTACCAGCGTGATCTCTCCAATTTTTTTTCAAAGAATGCGACGGCAAAGAGAAAACACTGGTAAGGGACATTTGGGACGTGGGGGATTTCCCGTCGCGACTTCCGTCGGCGCTTCCGGAATAACGATTTATGGAAAGGGCCTCGCTAAAACCAGTTCGTAATTCGGGAAGGACCCACAGTCCAATCAAGTGGCATTGCGTCTATGTCTTTATAAATGCTTCTTATGAGGTATACAACATGTCTCGAAATTTTATAGGCACTGCATGACATTTTCTTAATTGAACAGAGGCAAGCATGCTTCTCTCTACATGAGAAGTATACAGCCTGTAGTTTGGAAACCTTAAGCGCAGGCATAACGGCATATCGATTCAAAATTTTTCGCAAGAATGGTCGTCTGTTCTGCATTGCTGATTAATTATACATCATTTGATTTGGGCCATCAAGGCCACTAATCATGCATTAGGGTGAGGATCTATGCTCAACGTCCCAGTTTTGACAGAAGTGATTATTTTCGGGGCCGGTCCGTACACAGATTAGAAAACACAGTACTCCGCTACAGCCAATGTCTTCCAAGGGAACACGTGGCACGTTCAGTCTTTAAGGCAGTCAGAGGATTGCTAGGAGGACCGATGCGCCAAAAATGGCAGTGCAGAGGAAGCATAGGTAGAATTCAAAACACAGGAGCGTCAGAGTTTAGAAAAGAACGACATTTTCCTTCTTTCCTCTACGATAAAACTCCACTACGGTCGTTTGACCATAACTGGCACAGCGACCCCTAGCTGTCCCACATGCTGGTGGCCGAAGTCTGGAGAAAGGTCCTGAAGTACTCGAATTCTACATGTGCACTGAACCCAGTTGTCAGTGTTTTGTCGTTGCTGTCATATCAACTGAAGGGGAGATGGGCAGAGGTCGTCCAGTTGAACACGTGTCACCTGGCCCCTCAGACCAACGTCTAGCAGCAGCCCCGGATAGGACTGATTTGAAAGGAGTTGTTTACTTGACTGAAGGGCTAGACAGTCCTTAAAACGGTGCTTGTGAATGCAAATTCTCCTCTGCCAGAGATGACAGAAGAAGAGAGAGAGAAGGGCAGAGTGACATTCTGTCTCCAACTGTGTGGCCGCCTTCTTGGGTCCCTCGTACACTCCGTTGGCACCCCGTTTCAAACCGCCCCACTTCCTCCCATTTGGATGTTCGCTAGGTCGACTCTCCAGCCTCCAGTCTAGACCGAAAAGATCTATCATGTTTGGGGTAGTCTGAGGGGTGGGCAGGGCGTTTTTCTGGCTAATTCGTGATTTGTGGAAATAGAATTTGACATGCGCACTTCTGAAAACGCACCCAAGTTGGGATTAGTTCTGAGACGTAGAACGTTACGCAGAACGCCATAATCACCCACACTAAGTCTTCAGAGCGCCATTTAAACCTTTCGACTAGTAGACAGCTGTTTATCTTATCAAGCAGTAGTACCAATACAGTACTACCAGATATCAGGCAGAAGGAGGTTAGAGCTGGATAGGCGATTCGGGTTAGCAGCCGTCCTCTTGGCAGCAACAGCCCAGTTCCAGGTTTGGGCAACATGAAATTTGAAATCCAACTCTTTGGCCACTGAGCGTCAAGTCCAAGACTTCCCCTAAGTTAACTGTCTGTTGTCCTGTTGGTCGGTACCCATTTTTTTATCAGTACCGATCACGTTTGAGGGCCCTAGATTGAGCTGCAAGGCGGAACGAGACGGCCTGCCCCGTTACCAGGTGGGTGAGCGGCCATACCATGGGTGGCTAGGAGAACTAGGCGAGGTTTGGTCCTGCAGACCTATTTAACTGAAACCATATGGTCAGCTAACTGAAACAATTTCAGTTAACACACCTACCTTGGCCAATCGCTGGATTTGGAAGGGAAATGAAGGGAAAGCAGGGCTCGAGGCATTTACAGGCAAGCGCATGTGAATTGATACCTGATGTAACCGAGACTGGCGTAAAAGCACTACCCCGAGACAGAGTCACTTGCTGGATTAAGGTAGTAGGGAGGCGCAAACAGGTGACATATGCAAAGTCAGTGTAATCACACCTACTAAAATTGTTTTAGTTAGTTAGCACATGGCACCAATCAAGTGAGACTGCAGGACCAAGCATCGCCAAGAGCTATTCAGTAAGGTATGCTTTTAAAAAAGCAGAATGTTTCATAATTATGCGCCTATTTTAGATGGTAGTACTACTACTATTAGTGCTGCCACATGGCCAGTGGAATTCTGAGACCGACCCCTTGTAAGACCCAACCGAGGCAGACTTTTCCGGTGGAGTTTGGATGCTAATAGTCAAAACAAAGGGTATTGAAGAGATGATAATCTGCTATCTGCAAATAAACATACTGTTTCCCAATTCCTTGCCTAACGATATCTCCCAAGGGTATCCCAAGAATACAAACCTGAAATTCAATAAGAGATGCAGCATTAAGAACACGAATACATCATTCTATTGGAGGTTTTGATTTCATATGCAAGAAAAGTCTACGCGGAGAGATACTGGATCTGGTCAACAAAGTGTTGGGATATTGAATTTTTCAGTTTTGGTTTATTTGCCGTTGTCATTCAGGCCCATCTCAACTCCAGACCGGGAAAGCATGAGATTTGAACCTGGGCCCGGCTGGCCCTGCAGCTGAACGCTTTACAACCGTAACCAAGAGGAGAAAGTCCTATTGGCTGCCACCGGCAACGCTCAAGGTCACGTGAAATTAAGCCTCACTTCGAACTACAGCCTTCAATAGTGGCTGTACCGGTGACAACCGAATGAGGTAAGTGCAGTACCTCTCCGAAAAGGGTGAGTTTGGAGGATAGTTTAGGGTTATAACCAAAACCTAACAAGGTTTATGCTGTGCCGGTCACAAACTGGTGATACTGCAGCATTTGCCCCACATCTCTCAGCATTTGGCTTATGGTTATTTGGTTTGTATTGCGCGCGCTTAGATTTACGAAACTTACCCTCCAGTTTCGGTCGATCCCTAGTAGTTGAGTTGTCGCAGTAGTGGGCAGGGCTGTTCGGCGTCTAGTAATGCTGTGAAAGTGAGGCAGAAAAACCCAAACTGTTTCTCCCATTCTCTACTGAGTGATCCAGGGCGACGCAACCCTCAAATCAACTTTGCCTGGCTATCAGTGACAACGAGTAGGGCTGAACTTTTTCCAGAAGAAGTGTGGAGGGCTTCTCCGTTTGTAAATGCGCAGCCTTGACAGTTCATGTCATGTGGTTGCAAAGCGCGGCAGTGCGTTCCTTTTAAGTACACGCGGTCACATGGATTAGGCTGGTGGGTGAGTTTTGTTGGTTTCCAAAGCTCTACTTTATCCGTGCGAGAAAAATCTCTGAAGTACATACATCGAAAAATAGGAAACAATTGAGATAGGACACTCATCGAAAAAATGAGGACAATTTGGCATAATCACTAACCACTTCATGAGCACAGGCTGTGGAAGCGTGAAACTCAGCTAAGTAGATAAGAAGCGTCATTGGACGGCATGGATCCGCTGACTCCGCGAATTCTCATCGCGTCCCCTGTCTCCTGAACTGCGGAAGTGGTTCTGAATCTTAACTAACTCGAAATACAAGCCTTCTGCAGTTGGTCTGCACTCAGTCTCTGATATATTATTGGATTACGTCAAAAAACCAGATTTTATAGAAGCTAAAAAGTTGCCTGACGACATTCTATTTCCCTCGTACTTGATGCAGTAATTTGCCCTTGGGAAACTAATTAGTCCCTTGAATAAGGACAATTTGTTTGGCTAAGTACTCTGGAAGTGTTGCAGATAAGGCCGTGTCTGACATGTTGGTCGTTTGGTCTGCTAGTTCGTCACCTGAAGGGTGCGAGCACGGTTTTATCCACTGCTTTCGCTCCCCTGGCGTTTTCAGATGTTCACTTGTTGACGGTAAGGTGACGTCTTTTGTTGCCTTGGTATTTCGGGTTTAAACTTACAAAATAAAAGTGCGAAGTACGATAGTGAAATTAATTGCACCTACATCATGTCATAAGTCAGTGTGCGGAAGCGATTTGCTGGTTTAGTGCCTGGGCGCTGTTTCAGTCTGTTTGAGAAGCAAAGAGATGAGGGAGAGATAGTAAGCTTTTCCTATTGACTACCAGTAGTGTTCGGCCAAAATCCTTCCTAAACTATGGTTTAAAGAAAAAGAAATCGTATCTCTCCAGGTCATGGAGGCTAGCGGTAAACGCCGGATTTCTTTTTCCTTCAAAGTGTGTATATTACAGTTAATCTGAGGGTGCCACCAATTACCACCGACGGACAATGAATCCAACCGCATGTAAAAGGGCGGGATTAAAGCGGCTTATTTGAACAGATCAGGTTAGTCGATTTTGAATTAGATGGAAAGCAAAGGTTGGCATCATCACAGATTCAAAATGTATTTGCAAACTAGTTGACATATTCTACCAAGCTAACCCGTTCGTCAAACAGGGGACGTCTAGAATGCGTAGGAAGGAAAACGTACGGGGCTGTCCTCCTGTAGTCTTTCTCACTGCGCCAGAACTTATTTCGTATCCTTGTCTCCACCTTTACTGACCTGTCAAATTGCAGACTAGCAGTTTTCACAATCTAGCATAGGAAGTCTGACTTAACGGATGCCCCCCTCAGCCCAGGGATTATTGATGATACAAGCTCACTGATCCGGAGAGGTTGACGTTTGAACACAAAGCCAAGGACGCGGCTCGAAGGCAAGCAAGTACAACACTGATTTAGGAACGGAACTGGGTGTGAGGGGGAGGATGCGAGGGAGGACGAGCCGTCAGAATGGGGATCAGAACGTGGCTGAAGTTTACATAAACA